TCTTCAATCTAATTTAATATCTACATTTCATATAGGATTGCTGTCTGCACTAGGACTTTCACAACCCAGAAGATCACCGCTGCACTGAGACAGTTGGCGTATGGAACTGCTGCTGATGGTTTAGATGATTACTTGAAAATTGGAGAAAGTACTGCAGTAGAATGTTTAAAACATTTTGTACACGATATCATCGAGATTTATGGAAAAGAATATCTACGACCTCCAAACTCTGAAGAGCTGGAAGTAATACTGAAGGAAAATGAAATGAGAGGCTTCCCAGGATGTAAAGGGAGTATAGATGGCATGCACTGGCTTTGGAAGAACTGCCCTCAAGCGTGGGCTGGTCAGTACGAGGGGAAAGAAAAAGGAACCTCAGTTATACTGGAGGCTGTTGCTTCAAAAAACCTACGTATCTGGCATGCCTTCTTTGGGACACCAGGAGCTCTAAATGATATTAATGTCTTACAGAAGAGTCCGTTGTTTGATTCATTCATCAATGGTAGGTTTTTCGCATTACATTATGTAGGATAGATCTGACTGATTCTACCCTCCAGGTTCTGAAGATCAAGTCCATTTTGAGGTGAATGGGAACCATTACACTCGTGGATACTATCTAGCAGACGGGATCTATCCTCCCTGGCCCGTCCTCATCAAATCCATTCAAAAACCTTTGGATGAAGCGAGTCGACATTTCTGCAAGCTGCAGGAAGCGCTGAGGAAAGATATCGAGCGCGCTTTTGGTGTGCTTCAAGCGAGATGGCATATCTTAACTCAACCATGTCGGCTTTGGAGTCTCAAGGAAATGACTGAGGTGATCTTATGTTGCATCATCCTCCACAACATGGTTGTAGAGGATCGTGGTGAACTTGATCAAGTCACCATAGACTATCGGACAAAACACGGCCTTAGAATCCATCCAAATCGAGTCGATCCACAGTTATCTTATACGCTTGCTGAGTACTATGTTACCATGTCACAACTACGAGATCGTGATCGACACTTACGCTTGATGAATGATCTCAAGACGGCGATGTGGATGAAACGGGGCTCTGGTCGTAATGATTAGGAACTCATCACTTCCTACAAGTTTTACTAACTTGTTATCATGTAGTTTGTCTCGATTTCACATATCTCATGAAGATGGATTGTGTATCTTTCTTATTTTCATATTCTCTCACATGCCAAGTTGTTAGATGCCAAGTTGTTAAAAGCATACATGAAAATGACTTGTATTTCAGCTATAGTATTGAGCAGCCAAATCGATAGAACAAAAAAAATCGAGTGAACAAAAAAAATAAAAGTGTAAAACATGAGATGAGATGAGATCCACTAAATCGGATACAACTAATAAAAACTATTGAGGTTAAGTTTAAACTACTAATCTAATCATCAGCTTGACCCTCTTCATCATTTGAGTACTTCTTCAACAATCTACTTTTCATCAACTTTAAAACAGCTTTGGACTCTTCATCTGGACCTAAGTCGGGAGAAGTTGTTAACACTTTCATATCCTCGTAATAAGCGTGACTTCTCTTAGCCTCAGCATCGATTTGAAGAGCACGATCAGCGAGCTTGTGTCCTTGTTCTAGCACCGGAAGCTTTCGTTCCTGAATGTCTGAAGCTCGCTTGAGCTCTTCAGTCCTCTCTGTATCTAAGTCAGCCTCTTGGCGTTGTCGTTTGGCTTTTTTTTGGCCAATAGGACGTTCAAACGGGTCGGAAGAAGGTGGTGGTGGTGATGAACGTGTAGAAATGATAGGCGAGCTGATGGAGGATGAGACTGAAGTGTTGACTGAGGATTTCTTGAGCGGATCGATGGGTTGAGCCCATTTAGGATGTCGATGCAACACCTGCCACGCCACCTCATCTTCAAACACCTCCTTAGTTTGATTAAAGTACTCCTTCTTAGCTATACCCATGAAGTCGCTGGGAGCGGATCCGCTAGGAGGGTTCCGGACAATTGGCCAGTAGATGGCGGAGAATTTCAACGTAGCGGTGTTCAGAGGTTTCCAACTAAAGATCCAATCAGTTCAAGGTCACAAAGTCAAAGGTGAGTCATATAAACTCACTGGTTCTGGACCTGTTTATCTGTCCGCTCGATCCAGTTGTGGTTCTTGGCTGCTTCGTTGTAATGCTCAGCCACCTTTCCATAGAATATCGCACCAGACTGATTATTTGATTGAATCGTGTTCTCGCTGACAGTGACCCACGAAATTGCCAATTGCTCGTCTTCTAAAACGGTCCAGTTGGGTGATCGAGTCCTGGCTGCTCGTGTAGTACTCGGAGTGGATCCATCCATCAAGAGAAGGTTTGATGAGGTGTGTGATGAGGCGTGGTGAGAGTGATGTGGAGTGGTGTGGGTGTTGGTGAGGTGGGTGCAGGGTTTGATAGGGTGAGACGGGGTTAAATCAAGGGTCGTGGAGTTAGTTAACGCCGGGGTTAGCTGGGAGTAAATTTGACGCCGCTTGAAGATTTTTTAAAGAATATTTAACTAACCCCGGCCTAAAGATTCACGGCTGTGAATTTCGGGTCGGGTTTAGTTAAATATTTAACTAATCCGCCCCGTTAATCCAACGATTGGAGATGCTCTTATAGTGGGAATTCCAAAAGTTGGATTTTTATTTTATTTTTTTATTTTACTTAGCTAACTTAGGGGTTTTGTCCTAAGTTCCTAGGGGGTTTTTCTGCAGCTACAACTGTGAATTGCAGGGTTTTAGAGGGGATTAGGTGTGTAGGGTACCATTAGATTCAGTAGAAGTTGGAGAATAAGGTTTTGGGGGAATTTTCAAGGTTTCTATTATTTTTTTACTTGCTGCGGGAAAGTTTTTTGGAGAACTGCATTGGGGAACGTAGTAAAAAACAGCTTGTTTACATCTGTTTTTGAACCGTAGGACCTTTCCGGGGATCCTTAAAGCTGAACTAAAGCTTGTAGATTGGATAATCAAGGTTGGAAAGTTTATTCTTGGTGGTAGAAAGGTTGGCGAGGAGTGTCAAAGTGTATTTTTGAGGGCAGCTTAGCGGCGTTTTGGTTACGGCTCTTGGCGGTCTATCCGACTTGGGTTGTTTCTTCCCCTCAAGGCTCTGCCTACGCTCCACAGCGTAGGAGTTCTACACCGGTTTCGCACTTAATGATCCCCGCGGTGTAAATAGCCTCTCCATGGCCCATTCAATTCCATGAGGGGATGTAAATTCTAACTTAACACAAGTCCCAAACTTGCAGGGGCTTTCTTACCTTTGCAAGCCCAGTGCCCTGGAGAGGGACTTGGGACTCATCAGCTGCTTTTGGTGTACCAGCAGGGACCCAAAAAGGCCCTGCTCTTCTACAGCCTTGCATCTTCTGTAGTTTATACAATATAGATTTTCTGAGGAAAGCAAAATCTTCAGAACATCTAGACAAACAACTTTGGTTTTTGACATAGTTTGTTGATCAATTATTAATCCTCTTGCAAGAGAAAGAATTTAGGTCTTTTGTAAATTTTGTTTCCAAAATACAGTCACCAAATCACAAATCACAAATCACAAAATCTTTCTCTCTTTCTTGAGAAAACTCAGAGCAAGATATGACAAATCTCAATAGACAGATCTGATGAGAATGGGAAAGACATGCAGTGTTTGATAGCCAAAAGGCTCTAACAACACTTAAAGCAATGCAATAAAAAAACGGACTCTGGAGTCAGTCTTGCTCTGGCCGGCTCAATTCTGGCTTGTACATATTTGCTCGTGCACCTAGGTGGAAGCACCGGCATGATATAGCACCGCACCGCACCGCATCATATGAAGTTCATTTCTCTGACTTTCCAAATCTTGTGTGTGACGGTCAACTTATCGCCAAAACAGATACAAATACGCCACTTCACGACTTTCAATGGCTACGTCATCTCCTAAGAGGTCAGAAAACCGTGTGGGATCGATACCAACCTCATCGAGCTCCTCAGCAGCTTCTGCTAGCTATCCTCCTTCGCCTCGTTCACCAGCATTTGTCTCAAACTCAAACTCAAATTCAAATTCAAACTTGAATTCACTCTTCACTTCCTTGTTACGAGTGGACTCGATCGGTCGTTCCACCCTTGGCCGGCGCCTCTTTGGCTCAGCCCGCTCAATCCCTCAGGATGAAACTTCAGGATGGATATACGACCTGGCCCGTCGACCAGCAGCTGGAGAAAGGGTGGCTCAAAGCTACCTAGATCGCACCGCGATCGATTGGGCGTACGAGGATCGCAAGGAACGCGCACGACTCGAGGCAATCGCCATGCGTACAGGACTCGCAGCAGGGCTTGTCACACAACTCGTCGAGACTAGCGTCCCTTGGATAATCGTCATATCCATTGGTGTTGCCGTTGGACTCGTGGCCGGCTGCTTAGATGTGCTAGCTGGTTGGCTCGGTGATCTGCGGATGGGTCGATGTGGTTATGCTTTTTATTTAAACAAGAATAGTTGTTGTTCAGGACTTGAGCGTGAGTGCAGATATGATAAGACTACCTTCAAGCTAGCCGGTCATCTCCGTGCATCGGCTGTCATTATCATGACTTCATGATCTTCTGTCTCTCCGTTATGCAATGCATTTTTCTCATGTATTGGTGTTTATCGTATTGCCAATTCTGAAGTGAAACGTATTCTTTCTGCTGGTTTTTGAAAACATGCTCTTCGCCTATCCAAAGCCCACGAAGAGTGTTATGAATGGGAGACGTGGCCCGCTGTCTTTCAACTAAGTCAAGGTCCTCTCTCAGCTTTCTTACAGTATGTGATGTACATTGCAGGATCCGTAAGCTACAATTCTTGTGCAACCGTTTCATTTGAACTTGGTGTCATATGTTGCTGGGAATGGCAAACTATGTTTGGCTTCGTATCATTCTCGAGATGCACCAATTGACGTGAACTAATGCTCCGGGTCCCGATTTGCACTGTTGTGTGTTGAAAACATATAGGTTAGCTTCGCTGGCGTGGCGGCAATTTTAGTGCGAAGTTTTGCGCCGTTTGCTTTCCATACCGGCATGTAAGTCGCGAATCCAGTTGCGCTTGGCTCCACCTAAACTGACTAGCGTCTTGGACTTTGCATGATGCATAAAAATTCTTCAGCCCAGAGATCAAGGTAATCTTATCGGGATTTATATTTCGACACTATTTGAGCGCTTGGACTCTCATCATCAAGGCCATCGGTCTGGTATGTCAAATTCCTATCCGACGTATATTGTATGAAGCAATCTCAAGCTTCGAAATCTACCAGGCATTTGCTGTTGCTTCGGGACTATCACTAGGCAAGGAAGGTCCGTTGGTACATGTGTCATGCTGTGTAGGCAATTTGATCATCCAACCGTTCCGAGTCTTCAGAGATAACGAAGGTCCGTGAAGTCAATTGAGATTATCAATCCGTGTAACTTTATTTTGTGACGATCCGAGCATATCATGTCTGTTTTTCTTCAGCCAGGAAGCGTGAGATGCTATCTGCAGCTGCAGCGGCCGGCGTCAGTGTCGCATTTGGTGCTCCGCTTGGCGGTGTCTTGTTTGTATTAGGTATGGATCCTTCAAGTCTCCAATACATCTCAGTTGTTGTGATCAGCTGGGTAAAGTCAACCTGATAGGCACTCCATTATCCGCATAATCAATAATCCTGATTCACGTTATCATTTCATTCCAAAAGAGGAACTGTCACTCTCCTCTCTTCCGCAGGCTACACTATGGCGAGCTTTTGTGTGTGCAGTGGTAGCCACGATGACGCTGCAGTATTTTGACCCTTTCAAGTCAGGAAAATTAGTATTATTTCAAGTACAGAGTGAAGGCCAAGTTTGGCGAGCATTTGAGCTCGTGCCTTGGGTGTTCCTGGGTCTCTGTGGTGGTTTATTTGGAGCTGCCTTCATCCGCGTGTGAGTAGTCTTCCACGATATAATTTGTATATCACGATATTACTCACGATCATTTTTCTTTCACATCAGCAACATTGAATATGCAAAGATCAGACGATCTTCGGCTCTGGTGAATCATCCTATCTTTGAAGTACTAGGAGTGGCAACCTTCACGTCTTTGTTATCATATCTCTTAACATTCACGAGGTATATACATCTTCGCCTGTCAGACGCTATCGAATGCTGATATATGAAGATCATCGTTCATTGCTTGATGATCTGATAGGGTCCCCACGTCACAACTTGTAGAAGCCTTGTTTCAAGACTGTGGTAAAAGACCTGCTGATCCGTTCGGATTGTGCGAGTTGAGTGTTCGGTCACAACAGCCACTTCACTACCTTTTCTGCTCATCCTAAAAACTGATGACCCATCTAAAATTGTGCCGTACAGCCCGAATCATGTGATATTGACCATGATCATGTTGGTCATCTGCGCTCTCTCGCGCTCAGCCATCACAGCAGTAACGTTTGGAATTCAAGTTCCTTCCGGTATTTTTCTTCCTGCCATCGGTATTGGGGCTTGTTTTGGTCGTGCCGTTGGGATCTTCATGAATGCATGGCAGCAAAGTTATCCGAGTTTCTGGTTGTTTGGCGCCTGTCCACCAGAAGGCGCTTGTATATGTGCGTAGCTGACCAGGGACCACAGCTAATGACTGCTATGACCACGAAACATACCTTCACTAACCTTGACATCATCAATGCGGGTGTTACTTCTCATTTAGCCCCGCAAGTGTACGCCGTGATTGGTGCTGCCTCTGCGGTCGGAGGACTCACCCGCATGACAATCAGCTTGGTCGTCATCATCTTTGAATTAACGGGCGCCGTGGAGCTAGTACTTCAGATCATGATGGCAGTCATGATATCAAAGTTCACCGCTGATTACTTCTCAGTGGATGGTATCTACGAAGGTAAAGTGACCTTTCACAATTTTGGCAACTCTAAATCGTTATTTGACTGACCAAAAAATTCTTGTTACTGTGTTCTAGCATGGATCAACTTCAGGGGCTACCCTTACTTAAGTCCTAAAGACAGTTTCAGCCGTGTCGATCTAAATGCAAAAGACATTATGGTAACTGAGATAGTCAGCTTGCCAGCAAAAGGTTGGACATTGGACACCTTGGGTATGTGTCCCGGATTGATTGCTTCGCTCGCGCACCTGTTGATGCTCTGTGTCTCGTGGTACTCTGTAACTTTATAGAGGAAGAAGCAAGAAGACACACCTACAAAGGATATCCGATCGTTTCTGACCATGACCATAACCTTTTGATGGGTTACATTCCGAGTAATGAGCTAAAATTTGCCTTAAGTAGGTGATGCTCCTTACACTCTCATCGTCTCTTAAAACCTCAACATAAGATGCGGCTCTTGTGGAGTTTCAAATAAGACCACCAGACAATTTGTCACATCCTCCCTTTATTCACAATCGTCGCGCCTTTGACGCGTCTCATTCCTGCTAAATGCCTGAATACTGATCAAACTTGCTCTATGAACCTTGTTTATAGAACAAGCCCGCTCCGATTGGCCTGGAACAACGCCATGTCATTTCTTTTCTCGAGCTGAACCTTCCCATAGACAACCTTCATCTTCAACCAATGAAACCAATCAGAGGCCTGATCCGGCTGCACAGTCTATTGACCTTAACAAATGGGTTGACGAGGTGGGTGATCGGTATATGATTAAGGGTTTTCCAGACTAAAGTTGACGATGAGTAACGTAGGCACCTTTGACTCTGGAGCTTAATACGCCTGTGGAGACAGTTTTACAATATTTCCAAAGATTGGTGAGGATACTTGAAGCTCGTGTTATCAAGCTCTATTTGCAGGCTTTGGTCCTGAGCTAGCTGCTGATGATTATTCAAAAACAACTGCAGGGATTGAAAAATATGATCTTCACATCGCATGGCGTACTAGTTGGAATGATCACCAAAAAGGTCAGCAAATCTCAAAACCATTTTTATCCATGCTGTATGAGATAACTGATTGAAGACTCGGCGCTTTAAATGATTTAGGATTTGTATAAATACGTAAGATCACCATTTTATTCATCTGAACCTCAAACATCAGAACACAATATACATACACAGTACATACCTCTGGAGATGAATTGAAAGGCTTTTGATGAAAGTGTCAATGAAAAGAAATTTTAGGACTCTAGGATCTTGTTGATGTATTTGAGAGATCTGGAATTGTGTATGTCAATAATGGGAGTTAGAATGTCAACTTGGTGATCATTTGAAACATACGATATCTGAATTTAGCAATGCGAATGAATTATTTTTCCTGCTTATGTTGTTGAAAGCTCGGCAAAAAGATGTAGTAAATTCATATTTTTCTGATGTCCATTATCGATCAAACAATGATCCCATCTTGCCACTTTACGCAGATCAAAAGTCATGATGATTGTTTTTCAGATCATTCATACAAGATGCCAATCTTATTCGAAGAAAGACAACACTGAATAACTTTCTGTGAAGCTTTGTCTGTGTCTCTATGTGGAATTGCATTGACAAGGCGCTTGAGCACCCCGTGATACAAAGTCTCAAACTCGATGCATGGAATGCTCCGAATAATACAAGCTGAATTACAATTCTTCAATAACTATTTGGTCTTGGTCATTGAGTTTAGATAAAGTAGAGAAAGTCAAATGACTTGGAGGGCTTCGAGTATCGAGGACCTCGAACACCATGTGTCATATCTCCTTGAGATCGTAGTGGCGAGATCGATGAGCATGAAATTTTCAGCTTTGTGCCTGGATGGTCCATGCCCTCCCAAAAAGAGTTGACCAGACGCGCTTGAACTTTTTGTCGCGTGAGTGTCTGCTCAGCTATGAAGCAAAATAGAATTTCGAACTTCTCTCTTAAAGATCGACTGAGCTACTTTGAACATCAACAAAAAACAAACATCATTTATCACTTCTTGGTCTACATACTTCTCATCAGACAAGTTTTAACCAATTTTTTTCAAAAATGCTTTACCTCACTTCTGATCAACTTCCGGTGTGTAAGCCTCAATAGAATCAAAACTGGTACTGAAATCTAGATGTTATCAAAACTGACGTATGATTGTAGTCATTCCACTTGGATTGATTGGGTGTTATAGATACCTATGGTATATCATTCGAATACTCGCCAGTATATGTTATCAACCTATCCCGATTCCTGATGATCCAACCTATCTGGCGGAGGAAGACGTGACTGTAAGACGTGAATTTTCCTTGAAATCCCAAGTTGAAGAACCGATCAGCTCATCTTGTTTCACCTGGGACTCTTTTCGTCAGATCATCGTACCAACCATCGACGCGGATGATTCATTTGCTGATGCTGCGCGATCATGGCTTGCGAATAATCCACGGGAGATCATTATCGTCACCGAAACATCAGTTGCAGCTGCGTTAGAAAAACTGGCCATAGAAGTAGATGGACCACCACTCGATCCCGAATTACGCGACGCATTTCCTCATACAGTTTCACTCAATGAATCCACCCACGGAATTCCATCCTCCAATAATGATGACATCAAGAACCCAAAGAAAGGAAGAATCAGAGTGATCACCGTACCTAAAGCAAATAAACGATTACAGATGGCCGCAGGAATTCAAGAAACAAGAACCGATATCATTGTGTTTGCAGATGATGATGCACTTTGGCCTAAGACTCTTTTGGCATCTGTTTTAGCATGTTTTGAAGATCAATCAATTGGTGGTGTGGGAACTTCTCAAGTTGTAAAACCATGTAATCCATCCGGCAAATTAACCGTATGGGAAACATTAGCAGCCTTTAGATTAACGATTCGGAATATCGAAATCTCAGCATCCACTCATATAGATGGAGGAATTCCATGTTTATCAGGTAGAACAGCAGCATATCGTACGATGATTTTAAAAGATCCAAAGTTTTTAGACGGATTTACACATGATTTTTGGAAAGGAAAGTATCATTTGAATTCAGGTGATGATAAGTTCTTAACACGTTGGATGGTAAGTCATGGTTGGAAAACTTATGCACAATGTTGTAAAGAAGCTGAATTACAAAGTACTATGAAACCGGATTGGAGATTTTTAAAACAAGTCTTACGTTGGACTCGTAATACTTGGAGATCTGATTTAAGGAGTATGTTTATGGAACGTCATATTTGGTGGATTCATCCTTATGTTGCATTTACGATGGTAGATAAAGTGATTAAGTTGAGTTGTTGTTTTTTCTATGATGAATGAATTCCAATGATTTGAAGCTGATTGATTTGATTTGATGATTCTTAGTCCATTCACTTTACTCGCTGGACCTTGTTTAGTTTTATATTTAATGATTCGTTCTTCTGCCGGTAATGCACCTAATGGATTTCACTTACCAGCATGGAACATAATCTTTTCATATATCGCATGGCTCTTAATCACCCGAACACTTAAACTTTTACCACATCTTTATAAAAGACCACAAGATATAATTTATATTCCAGTCTGGTTATTATTTGGTTATTATTTCGCTGTGATGAAATTATATGCGCTTATGACGCTTCATGTGACAGGGTGGGGAACAAGAGAAGGAATAGATGATCCGACTGCAGCTACCGCTGCAGCTGAGATGCAACAGAAAGAGAAAGAAAATATTCATCATTCACAACAACAACAAGAACCTGGTTTATCTGAGATTGGAGTAGAAGAAAGGATTCGATATAATCATTATCTTGAAGAGGATCAAAGAGTATATCATCATGATGACTATCAAGGTGATTATCGAGTAGGAAGTCATGATGGTGATTATCGAGTAGGAAGTCATGATGGTGATTATCGAGTAGGAAGTCATGCTGGTGATTATCGAGTAGGAAGTCATGCTGGTCAACGAGGATTGAGTCATGATGCTCATCGAGTAGGCCGTCATCAAGGGTTTCAAAGTGAAGAAGATGAGATTGTAGATAGATATTATGAAAGTACATCAAGAATGGAGAATGATCCATCAAATCAAAGTGGTCAAGAAGGATCAAGAGTTACAAGAAATCAAGAAAATTATCAATCTCACTCTCAACAACCACAACAACAACCTACACTGAAATTGATTTCTACTTATAAAGCACCATTGCACAATCCATTCTCACCACCTCAACCGATTCATCAATCTACTGCTAATGCTACAACTACCATGGAAATTAAACCGGAATTGGATCTATTACCCGAGACATCAAATCATCCATCATCATCGTCATCATCATCAAATCATTTAAATCGCCATCACGAGACTAGTTTCCTTGGTACTGGATCAGGATTACCCACAGAGCCGGTGGTTGAAATTTCCATCACTTCACCTGACCTTAGGAGAAGAAGATATTATTATTAAAAGTTTCATTTAATGATTTAAATCCAATCAACTTTCTGCTCAAATTAATTTCAATTGATTATCTTGACTTTCTTGCTTTGAAATCATTTGTACTGAACTACTTTTCATCTTCTTGAATTCTCTTTCTCGTTTTTTTCGTGTGTGTGTGTGTCTTGTGATTGATTTTCTCACCTTGATTGTTCTTTTTGAATCCGCATAATAGATTAGAGAGGATTGTAGTATGTATGTATGTATGCAGCGGAAGATTGGCGAATGTATAGAGAGGTTGTGTATGTATCATAATGTATCATAGTGATGAGGATATCTCTTGTGATGCTTGAAATGACACGTGCCCTTTATCTTGAAGACCAAGACTCATGATTTGAATCAAGAAAGTCGAGAAATATGGTTACGTAGATCCACTTTTAACTTTTCTTTGGAAACTTGGGGATAAGACTTAAGTTGAGTTGGTTGTGGTGAAGTGAAGTGAAGTCAAGGAGAATGAGAAGGAGATCAATAATTTAAAGATGGTAAACAATTCACCGAATGATATTGATGAGTGCATATATTTGGATATCTGAATTGGTACACACTTATTCCTATGTGGGACTTTGTTGAGTTTAATTCCTATCGATCTAGAATTCTACTCACTGCTACTCACTGGTTCAATTGACAATTCCATTCTGATTTTCTCACTGAATGAATTTCTTCCATTAGATTTCTTCATACATCTTCCCTTATCATTTGAACTTCTTTCGCTGTCAATCTTTGTTCGCTCAAAACCTTATCCCTTTTTCTCGTTTTGCTTTTACTTTTCCCCTTTGTGATTGTGATCAAACCCATCTTTAAGTTTAACTTGAACTTTTGACTCTTACAACCCCTTTTTGATTTCATTCTTCTTGCCTTTGAATCGTCTATCCTTTTTTCTCTTCTCTTGATTACGTTCTCGATTTAGCTATAATATAATTGATTTACGATCTCATCTTCATCTTCAGATTGATTTCTTTATTTTGATCATTCATCAAGCGATTCACCAATCTCAATGAATACTCATATTACCGCTACCACTACTATGTCCAGTAGTGCTAATTCCATGACTGCTACTACTACAACGCAACTTCATCCTACTATCAATCTTGAACCTATCACTATCAATTTGAATACATCATCTGAAAGTGAGAATGAAAGCATAAATGAATCGTCAAGTGCTAGTCCAGTTCGATCGTTCATAATTCATTCAAGACCTTCACTTTCATCAGTTTATTATAATTCAAATTGCAGTGCTGATGAAGATGATTTGATAGCAAGAACTTCAATCTCAACTCAAAACTTAGAAATGAATCAAGTGGAAAAAGATGGAACAAGAACGTCAAACGAATTCACATTAGAATCAAATCAAAACGATGGTCAAGAGGTCTTATTGACTGATGAACTCACAACACCTCGTCATCTTCAAACTGAATTTATACATCCACTTCATTTGGATTCATCAAAAAATCAATCATCAACTTCAAACTTGATTCTTTCATCATTAAAATCTAATAAGAATTCAATCAATGATAGAGTGAGTCTCATTTTATATTTTTACCTCCATCCACCTTGGTGTTGTAAAGTAAGATAGAGAGACAACTGAACAGTTTCTGACACAAGTCATGAACTTAAATCTCAATTTATGTTGTAAATCAAGATTACCTAATCTTAATGAATTTTTTAACCGATAACTGATTGGGTTTCTTTTTTTTTCTTTCCCTTTCTTCTCAATTCAACACTTTCAACTTGCCACAACAACGAACTTCTCAACTTTCCTTGAAAAACCATTCAATCAACCTATCAAAACAAAACAAAACTATCATCATGTCGTTAACCAACTTTCATTCAACCAATCCATCAAAATTATCAAAATCATCATCCACTTTACCTTTATCTTCATCTTCTTCCTTAACTCAATTTACAAATCAACAGCAACAGCAGCAGCAAAATCAGCAAAACTTGAATCGTCCATCTCCACCTCGCATACAAACTCCCGACCTTGGAATCCCATTCTCAAGTCAAAATCTCAAATCTACCCTTGAACATCCAAATCATCATAATGTTCAATCAAATTCCAATTCAAATCATCATCATCATCCTCAAACTATCAATACTACTACCCCAAAGAATACTACTGTCGTTCATAACAATCTCATTTCTTCAACTTCCCCCAAGATCTCATTCAATCCTACCAAACTATCAAATCAAATCTCATCACTTCATCATTCCATATCATCCAATCAATCTACATCCATCAAAACATCATCCATCTCGACAGTATCCATGCATGACCAAGCGAAGCCATCTACTTCTTCAATTCCTGCGGACCATCAAACTTCAATCTCAGCTCGAGCTACAAACAACGTTAACTCTTTTCCTCGGACTTTGAACAAACTTGAACCTACTCAATCCTCTACGATCTCTAAGCAGAACCCACCCAACTCATCTTCATCCCAACCTAAACTCAGCTCACTACCATCTCCTATTAACTTATCACAATCAACTGCAATCTCCTCTCAGCCATTCCCTTCAACTCATCCCTCAAATCAACTCAAGCCTAATCTCACTTCAGATTCATCGCAGATCACCCCTCAACACTCTCTTGAACATCTCGAACATCCCGAACACTCCGAATCTCCTCTCGCTTCTTCTCCTCGTGACGACCCTCCTCACTCGCCCGTGACCTCTATCATGACTCCTGCTCAGAAAATCGCTCGAGAAGTTCGGCGCTCTTTTTCACTTGCTGCATCACCACCTGCACTGCATCATACCTCACAGAACTCACACATTGAACGAAATAATAACATATCATCATCTCTTCCTCAGCCCATCGATCCTGCTTCAATCTCACCATCTGAACCTTCTCTGCTTGACCCTTCAAATCACAGTCTCACACCCGCGCAAGCTGTAGCGCATCAAGCCCGCCTCATGTCTACTACCCTCACCAATGTCACTGAATCTGTAACTGCTTCTACTTCAAGCATTCCTGTCACTCAAGCCACATCCAACTCGAACATCGCTTCTACATCCAACCTTTCATCCGAACTCACCGCGTCTTTCTGTAAACTCAAACTCAAAAAGGCATTGACACCCTCGAAACCGGACTTGAAAGTCTCCCTGACCAAGTCTGACTCTCCCAACACCATTACTCCTGAACCTGCTTTCCGAGTGATCTCTGGTCGCAAAGGCCACCCTGGAGATGGAAAGGATCAGACAGCAATTGTGCGGCCGCTCGATACTGGTCCCGTAAGGATTCAGTCTTGTCCTTTTTCGATTTCACTCAAGATATTGACATGATGTCTTTGCTCTACTCTACATAGAATGCTGAAAAGATTACCGAACCCAAAGCTGTCAAAGCCTGCCCGAGTGTCTCATCTAAGCTGCCATTGGTCGGTATTTCTTTCTTCATCCTTTTACGGTGACAAGATCAACAGACCAAAAATCCTGATATGCCTTCTTACTGACTTGACATCATACCATTTCTCAAGCACACTTCGGGGTCTCATCCACCAGCTCCAACCAGTCCCAAGGCCACTACATTTCTCACCTCTCCACGACTACTCCCATCTGTTCAAGTCGTCGAGCCCAGTCCTTCGCCCGTAAGACCTGGTTCAACAAGTCTCGCCCCCTCTCCCGTCTCACCAACGCCTCTTGCGCCTCTTGTACTTACCCCTGCCGACAACCCCCCTCTGATCCCACTGGCCGTATTTCCGACTTATAACGAAGAAGAAGAAGATTCAGGCTCAGTAGATTTTACAGATCCAGAAGCTGAGATAACAGAGGAAGAGGAAGAAGAAAGTGAGGAAGAAGAAGATTACGATTCAAATCCGCTTTACATTGTCCTCTCGACATCCCTTTCACCTAGACTCAAAGACGCTTATGACTCGGCAAAATTGGTGTTACTACCAACTCGACGTGCTTTACCTCTTGATATGCCCCGCAAGTTACCCGATCCAAATATCGAGTTTGAATCTGAATGGGAACAATGGATTGCTGCACATACCTTTGTTGCTGCTGGACCTGATACCGCTTCCTCGGGCTCTAAAGAATCTGGAAAGGGTGGTGTTGAATGGGTCGGTATATCTAAATCAGAAGACCGGAGAGTCCACCTCTCCCTGAAGCCAGGAACAGGCATCGCCGAGGTTCGACTCATCATGTCACGGCCTGGTCCCTCCTCATCCACCACCACCACCACTCCTGCCGTCCTTTCAATCAACAAGCCCATTGTGACACCTCACAGAACTGACGCGAGCACTGAGTCCGATTTGACACCGGCTCTGCGGACTGCGCCCGAGTTTGATCCTCAACGCACCATACGCGCCAAAGAACCTCATAACCTCCCCGATCCGATACCAGTGTCCAACAGGTTCTCTAACATCTCCACAGTAACGTCTGACTTGACCAATACGACAAGTTGTTCATCATCGTCAGCTGCGCGTTCCAACCTCCTTCGTTCACCTTCCGCTGCTACCGACACCTCCTTGCCATTTACCCAGTCTTCTTCTGGAGTTTCTCGTGCTTCCTCTGAAGGATGGTCTGATATGCCTACTACACCCCCCATCAATCCCGACCTCATCGTTGGCAAATCAGATCAGCTCATGGGCTCACAAGTTGAGACCGTCATCAACGTTCAATATGCTAAAATCATCTCTGAAGAAACTATGTATCGCTCACCCCCGCGGCGTGTCCCAAGCCCAGCGGTCGCATTGGAATCAGCTCTTTCAGGTTCAAAAGCTAAAAAGGGCAAGGAAGTAGAACAGCGGCTAAGGTTTAAAGCACCCAAGTGGTTAAGGCCAGGTGCAGCACAAAAAGAAAAGGAACGTGAACGTGAACGCCGCGAGAACGCGTTGGCTTTGGCAAGAGAGCGTGAACGTGAACGACTGAGACTCCTCGAGGGCGAAGGTGGAGGTGGATTAGAGCGGGTACGATTGATCAGCTTGAAAGGACCTGTGATCGAGAGATGGTGGCAATCGCCGGTATCACAATCTATTGACAGCGTGACGGAGACTGAAGCTGAGAATGGTGCGGTAGTACCATTCCCGTGCCAACCTCGTACACCCACAATAGCTTCACCTCTTTCAGGAAGTGCTTTCAGTCAAAGTTCCATTAGTCTAAGTCGTCGATCTACTCATAGTAACTCAGTGAGGATGATCAGACGATCCAGTAGCACGAACACCAGAGACTCTGAAAACACGAAGAAGGAAATACGGAGGAGATCAAGACGGATGCCATCGGGACTTTCGATTCTGAGACATGGATCAAGCTCAACACGGACTCGAAGTTTACTCGCGTAAGTTGAGCAATTGTGTAAGAAAAAATTGGATAGATCAATAGACTGATCATAATCCTTCTTTCCACAAACAAAATCAAGTGATTTGTGCTTTCTGCTGAGTCCGCCAGATGAATTCGGCGAAGTGAGCGGAATTTTGAAACGGTATGTTGGAAAGATGTGGGCGATATCCAAAGCGTTCAATGAGTCGATTGGTTATCTGAAAGGATGTGAGAATCATCTTTTGGCGGTAAGTTTGTAGCAAGACTCATTCCTCATGGCAGCCCAGATGACCAAGAAACTCAATAGCTCATTTTGTTCTTTCTTGTCACAGCAATTGAAGCAAGATCTCTTTCTACCAGTCTCTCAGGGAATGAAAGATGACCTCAGACAATATGGTAATGAGACCGTGGTCAAGTGGGTCAATGAGGATTGGGATCGATTTGGAAGTTTGATAGAAAGTCAGTCTGAAGTGACATTATATAGCCGCATTGATTGGACTGATACCCTCCTTTTTCCCTAGATGTGTTGATGGCTTTCTTGCACCCAAGTCTATATACAAAAGGCGTCGCAAGTCACTTTGCAGGAGAAGACGATTATCTGGATACAATTTTACACAATTACAGGAAACGTGAGATTCCGTTGAGTGAATTTGCTATCGAGGTGCCAATGAGGTTACAAGATGAAAGTATCCTATCAGAGGCGATTGAGAAACTTAATCAACTTAGACCATCAGAAGGTGTCACCTCCTCGCCTTCACCACTTTCACCTGAAGTACTTCAACGGCTCTTCGTAGCCATGGACACCTCTGAAGAACAAACTGTGTTGGGAGTATTGATGGCCAAAACCCCATTGGAATCTATTGGGATCATGAAACAGACGATCGATTGTCTTGTGACGGCTTGGACTGAACATGCTACTAAAGCTGGTGTTGATGAGGAAGCCCGTCGTTTGACTCCCGACGATCTATTGACGCTTCTGGCGTGTGTGATCGTCCGCTCTGGTGTTGAACAGCAGCATTCATTGATCCATTATGCTAAAGTGTTCAGACTTGGTGCTCCACTCACGCCTGAGATTGAGTAAGTCACGATGCTCTAAACGCACGCTTATTCCAACTGATGCTGATCCTCATCTTTTCATTTATCTGTTTATAGTTGGGCGTTTGTGAGTTACCAGGCAGCGATCGCTTATCTTCAAAGTGACCCGTTCTCAGCTGTCGATTCGCGCTCCGTAAATTCACAAGCGGTGAGCGTGAACTCAATGCCGAGTTCACCGTCTCTTGGTCCAGGTTGGACTCGTCGACGACCTGCGTCATTCACTCCACGCACACGACCTATTCCCACTCACGGTCATTCGAGTGGCGTTTCTACCACTCTTTCATCTCCATCAGCTTCATCGATCCGGCTATCTTCCTCGATCGACCAGTCTTCTGTGATCTCTAGCCGCGTCTTGCCGCGTCATCGTTCCCGACCAATGGGTACTTCCGTTGGCACTGTCACTCGGGTATCTGAAGCACCACGGCATTTGGCAGGAAAAGTCCCACCGACGCGACCAGCTCTTGCACCCATCAGTACAACTGATCGATGTACTCGACGTTCTCTTGACTTGGGCATGCTATCAGCTCCAATGGGCAGTGGTGAGAGCCGAGCATGTTCGGTTGGTTGGGAATCATTACGATCGTTGACTTCGATTGGAGAGACTGACCCACCTACAGTTCGAGGTGGACCAAGTAGATCATTTCATTTTCCATATTCTGGACCTGATGTTCATCCTTTGAGTCTTGAAAGAAGAAACACGTCAGATTGGAGTGACACAGGAGGAGGAGCAGGAGCGAACCGAGAAGGATGGTTAGAGTGGGGTAGAAAACGATTGACGAGTGTGACTAGTTTACAAATGATGGGAGCAGGAAATGGAGTGACGAATGGAAATGGTTTGAATGGAACCAATGGATCATTAACACCTGCAATGGCAGCTTTAACTCGTGCTAAAGCTCAATCTACAAATGAAGAAGAAGAAACACAAGAAGAAAAAGAAGTGGGTTTAAGAGTTAGACCTAAATCATTGATGAGTCTTAGTAGTCTTTCTACTACTGCTACTGCTACTACTACCAGTTAGCTAGAGTGAAAGTGTCTTTTTTTGTTTTGATCTCTTCAAACAGTCTTTTCTTTTGTGATTCCTTTTTTCTCATCAGTCATACCTGTTTATTTTTCTGTTTTTATTTTTCTATTAAATCTTTTTTTTTACAAAAACTTCTTTCTCTAAGGTGTGATGAATTGCTTGTGATTTGATATCGTCTCTCTCTCTTTCCCTCTCTCTCTCTTTCTCTCTCTCTTTCTCTTATTCTCCTCTCATTGGTTCAATTTTTTTCTTTAGTTCTTCAAAAATTTTATATTGCATTTCAGTCATTTGTAGTTTTCTTTATATATATATATATATTTTCTTGGATGTTTTTGTTTTAGACTTGTTGAATTGTAGGTATGGGATGAATTTTAAAATTGGTTTCAAAAATAAAAAAAATGGTGTTTATGGAGAGGATCAAAAAAATCAAAGATTGGGATTTATAACCTATGCATAAGTTTCTTGGATACTTTGTTGCTGATGTGAAGCTAGCATGTTGTACGGTGTAAGGATTGTGCTATGGGCCCTGCACCCTGAGGGTGATGGAATTGGTATGCACTTTGAGGCTCAATTTTTGGGTGCGGCTGCTCTGGTTAGCTTCAGATTCATTGCCAGGTAAACTCTGGTGAAGATTTCAACTTTGGCATTCAGGACATATGACAACTGGGTCTGAATATTTATCAGCAAATGTGCTCTTCTGTTCTGGTCAATCTAAAGAATCCCATTGCAGCTGTGCAGTTGATTATGAAAAGCTACCACATTTCAACTGATTTGGCAATGAGATTTCTAACCTCAAAGTCTTTAACAGAGAATTCAAAGAGCTTGATCAAGTTGAAGAGTGCAAAGACAAAGTTCAGACAAGCATGAAGATTGTACATATTTGAGTCTGAGATTGGTTATCTTGAAACATGTTCTTTGATGTTGAATTATTCAATTTATGTGTTGAAGTAGCAGGCTTATCATTTTAGATAGTAGAATTAGATGTTAATTAGAATTAGAATCAGGTGGAACTTTTTAAGGGCTCGTCTTGTCATTGATTTCTATTGATGTAAAATCAATTGCTATAACTTAGTGCAGCATAGTAAGATACAATAAAACTAGTCATAGTGATCTTTTTGATGTTTTTCCACCTTTATCAGTTTTTCATGTTTATCAACTTGTAAGCCATGCCTTAACTACTCTCACTGAAGCTTGTCTACTTTTATGCTCTGTAATTGGATTGAAAATTTGGGATTTTCCATCTTGGCTTCCTTGTGGAGTTGTGGGAAGGCAGCTAACTTTTTCTGCTGCCCAGCAAGAATATTCACCTGAAAAATATTTGGGGATTTGTAACCATTTTTGCATTCAGCATAAATGTTAAGCCCTATCACAAAACGGACCTTGTGTGTTTTGATATGAACATTGATACCTCACAGCCACTCAGTCTTGCACATTTTTAGGTTATTTCACTGGAGGAATCTGAAGAAATCCTAGTTTAGATTTTATGCAACATCCATGAGCTTGCTTGGACCCCCTGAAGCCAACTATGGAATCCTGCTCCCAATATTGGTAAGAGCAGATGTCCTTCAATAAAAAGGGTAACATCATGGGCACAGATCCTAGCATTCAGCTATATTGACATGCCTTCTCTGGGGATGAGAGAGCTCAAAGACATATGTGGGAGACCCTGGAAATTGAATGCACCATTCAATGTGGGTGACAAAGAAAATCTGCTTTGTCTTGTCAGATTTTGAAAAAATCTTGGAAAATCCCCTTTTTGGTACCCGCATTGGAAAACAAAAGCAAAGAAAGAGTTGTTGAAGAACACATGGGTTCCACATATGCATTGCAGCATTGTATTCCAGTATGTCAGGCCTGGATCTTTAGATATGATTGATTTGTAGTCACAGCCCCCAGCTACTAGTCACCTGCAGTTCCAAGACTCCCACAACTTCAGGATGTTCTCAAAGAAATTCAGGTAGAAACCAGATTAACTTCCATCTTTAGCCTGTAGCCCAATGTGGAAAGGTGTGAAGAAATGACCATATCATATCTATTGACCAAATGATAACTCAAAACCAATGAACTTCAAGCCACTGATTACTGAGCTCTATGGTCTGCCATAATCAGCCTTGCCTTTTTGACTCACCTGTCCAGAGCTTATTGCCAAGCTAAGACAATTCCAAATTCCCTTAAGATGACTTTCATGCCAAGGATGGAAGTTTGAAAAATCTTCCAACCAACCTAACAATTGCTACCATCTTTACAAAGTCTGTTGTGAACCTTGTTTATCCCCGCAATTTTTGTAATTCTACGTTTCTTTGTAAAACTTTGATTTTTGGAATCTTGATTGAATGTTATAATTTTTACTACCTTCACAAAGCCTCTGTATGAACCTTTTCTATTGTGATAGACAGATGAAAAATGTCTGCTAAATGCTATCTTTCCAAACCTGCTGTAAGTTGACTTTATCCCTGTAGACAGATGCAAAATTTGTGGAAGATCTTAATGGTAAATAATACCTACACCCTGTGTGGAGTTGTAGTGTTCATATAATACAATTCCAAATTTCTTTGAAAAAAAGCTTGATTTCTGGAATAATAGTTCAAACAAACTTCAAAACCCTTGCAAGCTGGAGTATGCACACAATTTTTTTCCATAAACCTTGTTTATCTGCATAGACAAATTTCAAAAGTCTGGCAGATCCTCATGGTACCACTTACACCCCTGTATGGAGCGGTAGTGCAAGGATATTATAACTATAGATTTCTCCAAACAATACTTTTATCATTAAAATAATGGTTCAAAAGAGTCTCCAAAATAATCTTACCATCTTGAGCATATATAACAATTTCCCCTGTAAACCCTGTTCATCACCACAGATGGATGTAGGGAGTCTGGCAGATCCCACCCACAGAGTGTTCTTTGCTGTAATATCAAGGAGCCACAAGGCATGTGCCCAAGCCCCATGCAGGTAGGGCTGGCTGCAAGGGCTTGTGGCCGCTTGATGGCCAGCCAAAACTTGTGTTCAAGCCCTGGAGAGTCAGGGTATACAGTCATGGCTCATGGCCCCCAAGCCTTGATGGCTACCCAGGAGCCTCTAGCATTCTGTGGACCTCACTACTGCTCCATACAGGGATGTACCATGTACCATTATGATCTGCCATGTGTGATTGAAGTTTGCAGGAACCATTGATAAGGATATTCATTTTGGTCATATTGTTTTAGGGATCTTTTGAGCAATGATTCTGAAGATCAAAGTGTTTTTCAAAGAAATTTGAAATTGCAATATCCTTGAACTACAGTTTGGTGCAGGGGTGTGAGTGATACCATTAGGATTCTCCAAAGTTTCAAACTCTATCTACTGCAATAAACAAGTTTTATGGCAGGAAATTTGTGAGCATACCCAAAATTTTGAGATTTCTCTGGAGATTATCTCAGAATTGGATTCTACAGATTGAACTTTTTTCAAAGAAATTTGGAAATGCAATATATTAGTCCTCCAACTCTGGACAAGGGTAAAAGTGGTTTGAAGATACTAAAAAACCTGGTTGAAAATATTTTGAAAATTGTTTGAATTTATTCTGAATCCCATTTGAAATTCTCTTGAAGTCTGTGGCAGTCTCTGGCCTGCCTATAAACCCCGGCACAATTGGTACTTGATCAAGTTTGAGTAGCTGGGGGCTGCAAGTAGTAATTACAACTCCTTGGAGCACAAAGACATGTATGTAATAATTCATTCAGAAACCTTTCTATTGCTGGGCCGGGATTTCAGCTTGGCAAATTCATCATAGTATTGGTCAATCTACCATTTATAATGAACAGAGCCAAGCATGTTGTACATGACTATTGGAATAACTCCTTTGTTGTTGTTGGCAAGTAGAGCATTGGAGAAACAGATGAAGATTAAATCTTCACAATTTCTTTATTGAAGACCAGGGTAGTGTTTGCACAGGTCTAGAATCTTTTGCAGAGTTTGATCAAATGATAACATGTTTCGTTTGTATTTATAGTAAGTGTATGTCTATATGTGGGGTGGAGGTGTTCACAGATGTGTGATGGAATCAGAAGGTCAGAGGAGTTTGGATTGCTGGGATTTCAAAATTTGGTGGATCCTTGCAGATCTGAGCATGTGGAGAGGGAGAAACCTGGGCAAACGTAACCCTATAAAATCCCCTTCCAATTCACCCAGATCACATCCTTGTACCTCAAAACTCCCCTTTCACAACACCCACATTTTGGAGAAATTTGGCCAAAAATCCCTTTTTTGGTCACCTACATATGACAAAAAGTCCCTCAAAACCCCACTTTTTTTGTTATCCAGATCTTCAGGTGCATTCCAGGGTCCTTATTCAGCCTGAGCCCCGACCCGAAAAACGCTTACTTTTGCACAAGAGCTCTTGTAAAACATGATGCCTGACCTTGTGTGCAACCCTGATTTTGTTGACTGTTACCTTAATCCAAAAATCTCTTTTCACTCCCCTTTTGGGAGGGGTCTTCCCATTGGGATCCTCCACAATTTTGGGGGAAAGTCAAGGGCCTACTCAAACAGTCTCCCTTTGTGGATGTCTCAGCCTCAATCACCCACACCTGCTATTTTCCTGTGGAATTCCATTGTGGCCTTAGGCTCATTGTTGGCCTTTGATTGCTTCTTCAACCAGAAACACTCAATTGTCAGATTGATGAATCTTCCCCTGGAGTGTATGGTTTGAAGTTTTTTTACAAATACAGGTTTCACACACAGCTTTGATTGTTCTTGTGCCCATGCAGAGCTGCATGGGCAATCAAACAATCACGTGGAGAAATGGCCAAAGACAAGAAAAACCATCATTGGAGATATCAATTAAGCTTGAACACCAATGTATGTCATCAGACTGAGGATCATTTGATCCCATTTAGATAAGTCTATCAGCATCAGCCTGCCTTCCTGTTTGACACCAAAATCTGGTGCATCAGAATTCTTGGTTTGAGTCTTGCCTTCATCCGTAGGCAAGGTGAAGTGGACTGTATGGGAGGCAAACTGATTGAAAGAGAACAGAAAGCATCAGAATAGTATAAGAAATACTAGAATTGGAGTTTGACTGAACCTGTGATATGATGTGGTCCTCGGGATGGTAAAGACAGCGTTCATTCTCGTCCTCCTCTACCATCTTATCCATTTTCTTCTTCTTTGGCTTGTTCTGCTTAGAATCCGAGGTTTCAACTCGTTCGAAGGTGGCATTGGCTTGCTCTGCATCCTGGCTTTCCTGAGGTGGGAAGAAAACTCGAGAGGGAACCAAAAGCTGACTATAATTGAAACCGGGGGCGTTCTATGGAAAGACATAGATGAATTTAGGACTGGTGCGCTTTGTTACAGGGTAAGAAACAAACTTACTTTTGATTGAGCATGTTTGATCTCGTTTCCTATCTGTGCAAGAAGTTGAGGCATGACTTGCACAGGCATATTGATCAAACGTTCAGACAGCAAAAGCCCGACACCTTTCCCCTCTGGCTTTAAATCCTTTTCGATTGTTTTCATTAGGTCTTGTGACACGGCACATGATTTATTTGAGGCTATAGATGACATCAAGTAGGACGTTAGTGCAGATACTGATGATTTGGACTGGACGACCGCATGAATAGAAAAAAGGTCAGTTGGAATTTATCCAGGTTGATGAATTTGTCCTGGTCGAGAGTTCACGGACCTGGTGAGCCCGAAGATCCAAGACACTTGCAAATGAGTAAGGATCACTACTTTCATCGTCACATTTTACTGTTCCGCCGACCCATTCTTTTTGATCACCCAGCAGGATATCCGTCAATTCCCCAATATCGATATCTTTTGGAACTGGTTTCAATTGAGCTTTCGATGGTAAGATTGGAGTAGTTTGTTCGGCTTCAGAAGATATAGATGAATTTATACAAAATAGTTGAGATATAAGATGTTTGAGGGCATGGTAGTCGATTGGATTCAGATCACAAAATTCGAATGTAACATCGATAGTCTGATATTTTGGTCAACAGAGACGATCAAAATTGTGTTAGTTTTGCAAGCGTAAGACAAATATATGCGGCGTTTAGGTCATGCTCACCTCGTCCACCATTTCCGTATCTGAATCTTCATCCCTCTTTCCATCATTTTTTCGCTTATTATCGGATCGAGCCATGACTGGTCAAAGATTATAAGAAAAGGTCGATTAGGCAAGGTTTATGAGTATCTCGAATGTTTCACCAAAGAGAAAAAAAATGTGCACAATTTTATCGCTACAGTCAGCACGCGCTATAAGCACATACATATACAGCTTACTAGCATACGTGGGGTGTTGCTGTGGTAGATCCGGCCCGGAGTCCGAGGGTCCGGATCACTTGTGATCAACAGGTTCCTTGGAAGCAACATTATGACTCGGGACTCATACAAAATTAAATGGCTTCAGAGGCTATCCATGCATCTGCTTCAGATGTTAGCTTTAGATCAGGAAGTAGTCACGAGTCCCCGAACTTAGATCAACTGATAGCTGACTTGAAAATTTCTAGGCTAGCTCAGCATCTGCTGACCTGGTGATATAGTTGGCATATGGGTGGTTGCTTGCATCGCATTGCCGCGCATCTTTCTACGCCTGTGTCATTCTAGGACCAAACAAGCGGGTTCATCATTTCTCTCATGATCTGCTGTTACTTTTTCTTCCAAAGCTCGTACCCTCAGACTTAAATCTCAGCCACACCTTTCAGATGTTGCATTGCAAGGTTGAAGATTGATTGCTGGCGAGGAGGGTTGATCTTATATCCGCACAGGTGACTTCTCCAATCAAGAGGATATATGCATTTGTGATGATCTCCTACATTGAATGGATGTTGAACACATATTTCAATTCCTTCTCTACCTGAACTGGATAATCCCATAGATCTTTCATACCCTTGATTGAAATGGTTTTTCTGGGCCGGTGGTGGTTAAAGTATGTGATGTTTGAATTTAACAATGTGAATAAATTGCTTTCTGCTTCCGTTAAAAAGATGCAGTGAGTAATATCCGAGTTGCAAACTTCAGATGTTCTTCTTGGCCACAGGCATAGCTCACCAATGACGGAATGATGAGCTCCCGCAAGCAAGCTGGAAGATTTATGAGGAACTCTTAGTATTCACTCCGTCAACTGACACTGGAAGAATCTGCGAGTCATTGTAAAAATGTACATCTATCGATTCATATTTTTCTGACGTCCATATATACAGCGCGGAATGGAAAATACGTGGCATGATTACAAACCTCATACTATATGCTGACCAGAAAACAGCTATGATGAGAACTTTGATATAAGGGAAAATCTCATAGACCTAAGTGAAAGAACTAAAGTGGAGGAATGGCGGCAACCCTGGGCCAGCAACGCAGGTGTTGCGTGTTGCGCTGCGCCTGCGTTGCGGTTTTTCTGACCGCAGCGCAACATAGAATCAAATTCTAGGTTGCGGCCTGACCCGCAGCGCACCATCATTTGTCAAATCGATGGATTTTTTGGGCCGCAACAACATTTGTTGCGTTGCTGCCCAAAAAAAATCACAGTTCGGCGTTTTTTTGGCGCTGTTGCGCCTGTTGCGTTGCGCGACGGTCAAGGCGCCGCGCAACCTGACCTCACCTTTTGTTGTTGCGGTACTTACCGCAGCGCAGCATGTAATGCAGGTTTGTGCTGCGTGTTGCGGAGCAACGCACCAAAAAACACTCGTGTTGCGGTGCGTTGCGTTGCTGGCACAGGGTTGATGGCGGTCGAGAGCGTTGGAAGAAGTATTGGAGTAGGATCATCTTTGATCACAACACAAGGTCTGCGTCGGTATCAGCAGTCCATGCCAGCAATCATAGCCTCTCACAAGATGGAGGTCCACACATCGTTGATGTGTAACTCGGTCTGGAATTTGGTCTCTGAAGCAACTTCCAGGTTGGCTTCCAGCGTGACCAACCGCAAAGCTCGGATGTTGCCGGTGCTCCAAGCAACTTATTTTTGAATTCTACTTTTCACAGATGTATCATGTAGGGAGTAGCATCGCGATTGCATAGCTAGGCCGTAGATGCAAGCAAAGCACCAATTGTCTCATTTGTGATCAGTTTTTTGTGAGGTATATCATTGATCGTCCAATGGTTTCGGGATATACCTAGAATGTACTTCATCCTGTCGACCACCATATCCCGGAATGGAAATAGACACACTCCCTTGATTGATACAAAGCGATGATGAAAGATGAGACAAACCAAAGAGATCATCCACACCGTTTCCTCACCCCCGAGAAAGCCTTGGCTCTATATCCCCTTCAAAGGACATCGCCCCTAGCGGTGGTTGTTCGTCTTTCTACCAAGGTATGATTTCATCAGCTTTCCACTGCATCGCACTTCGTATGCTAAGCGATCATATGACATCTGCTTTTTCGATCCACTGCTACTTCACCTTGTTTTTAGGTCATACATTTTGTCAAGATCAATCTCGCAGTGTTACGCCAAACCGAGTAAATCAAAGTGCACGTGAGTGAAGCCTCAATCCATTCTTCATTTCCTGACTACTCCATAGAGCTCTAGTATAAATTTTTGGCTCTCGAGGACAAAAGCTAATTTTTCACGCTGTGGGATCAGCCGATAATAGTACACTAGGGCGACGCATCTGGACAAGTCTTCCGGCGAAATTCCAGCTCTGACTCTGAGAGTTTCTTGCTTGTCGCAACATCATTAGCTGCACAACATGCAGCAGGCCCAAGTCACCGCGAAAATCTGCTCCTCCTCCTCATTGAGTATAAGTCGTCCGGCTCGTGGACTTGATCTTTCACCAGAATCTTTCAAAGGATCCCAATTAGATTCGGTGCGTCAATCTTTTCCCTCGCCCTAGCTACCCTTTTGTATGGAATTCTGAAATTGGAAAGATGATTGCTTTTGATGTGATCCTTAGTCAATTCTCCGTCGCTATTCTTCCCCCGTCACGGTGAGGAATTGTGATCAACGCGGAAAGCCAAGTGGAATTATATCGCCCGTGTAAGTCCTGCGACCCATTCCATTTGACCCGGTATCATATCTCACAATCCATTGGTATACATAATTGACCACTCTTGTGCCAACCTCCAACCTATTCCCCCCGTCTTATCCACAATCTCTTCTGATCGGAACATTTCTTTTTTCCTCACTAATAATATCTTTGGCGACTTTATCTTTATATTATTTTCGTAACATAACTTCATAGACATATTCCCGAGGCTTCTGACGTTTCTAAGCCCCGCTATCAATTTTGTAAGGTTTCTACTGTGTTGGAAGCCTCTAGGGATCAGCTCGGCCAGACTTCAAATCGATCCTCATTCTCATCAGGTTCTTCATCAGATCCTTCATCCGATTCTACTCCGATGTCGAAGTTTGAATATATGTTACCACAAAGAAATTATTTATCAAGAAGTACGGCTGCAGGGAAATTTCAGCCTCTGCAAGATGCGCCAGACCACAAAGTTACTTCAGATGTAGAGCATGCTCGTAAAAAAAACAGTCTACCCCGCTTCGGTTATCCAACCCTTTCAGGTGAGGAGGACTTCTTCTCCAGGAAATCACATTTTAGCGACTTTCACTTAGAGCCTTTCACAATAGCGTCCAGCCAGCATCTACAGCCTTCTTCGAATTCGGCCTGTTCAATCTCAAATTACTCTTGTCAATCCAATGATAGTACTGAGCAATTGATGCTAGTTCGAACACCCTCACTCGAGGATGGATTTCAATTGATAGAAGCTCGCGATGCAACCAACATCGAACCTGAGAGCCCTACTTGGGAATGGAAGATTCAAACTCCAGCATCCGTCAAACGATCACTTTCGAGATCTAAGAACTTATTCAGGTCGACTAACTCTGTCAGAGCTTCTGTGGAAGCTGTTTCCCGTCTTGTCCAGCTGGACGATGAGGTGGAAGAGCTCTCAGAAGCTAATCAACCTGAACCACCAAAGATGAAAAGTTCAAAGAGCTCGTCTTCCTTGCGAAAATACTTCTTCGAATCGTCGGGAGATTCCAACACAAAAACCAAGGGATTAAAAAAGAAGCTTTCCTTTATGTCGCACTTTTCACTGAAGAGCAGTGACTCGATCCAATGGCAAATCCAACCCTACATCGTAGATAATCAGACAGAAGAACTTTCCCTTGAACAATTTTTGACTAACGAAACAGGATCGACAACATCACCGGTAGACAAAGAGTCAGTCCTACCTTGATACTAGAATAAACCTATGACTTTCTGTGAGACAATTGATACTAATTGCATCTTCCCTGACACGCTTCCCAAAACGCAGACCGTACGCCAAGAAAACATTCCCTGACTATAGCAGCTCCAATCAGAAAGAAGCTCTCCACGATCCATCTCCGTTACCTCCTCCTCTGAAGACAAAATCTAGATCTGGTTTATTCTTTTGGCGTCGAAACAAAGAAACCGAGTTTAATCTATTGAATTCGACACCTAGCAAGATTAATCTCACATCGGTGCAAATCTCTTCTCCTAGCGCATTTCGTCATATCAATCAGAACGAGGACAGCCAGTATTTTGAGCCTTCCATTCGCGGTAGTTGTGAAACGAGTTATCATGAATGGACACTCGCCGAAACGAATCCTGCTAATTCTATCTTGGCATCCTCTGTGTCGAGTTACTCCTCGACAACTCATACCATAGGGACAAACTCCTCGAACTCTAAATTATTACCATCAGTAAGTGTTAGCTTTTGAATATGCTACGGCTTTTGCTTTCCTACTAATCACTGTTTCACACGCTTCGTCCCACAGAAGCCTTCTCCTCCACCTCGCCCACCAAGGCTACGTCCTGTAAGCAACACTAAAAAAACACCCTTCTTCGCCTTTTAACTCCACTTCGCCGCCCATTGACTGAGCTCATGATGCGGATGATCGCATTTGAACAGGTCATGTCTATTCCCTTCGCCAGTTAATTTTCGAAAAATAAGGCTTCCGGGGTGGCTGCTGGTTCATAGATCTCGATGTCGATTATATATGTTATGTTCTACGTGAATATACAGACTGGGCCATTGGCTTAAGAATTCAAATTATTCCAAGCTGAACTTTACTTTAATCAAGTCCTTCTTTTCCATTCGTGTTCTTCTTCCTTTCCGCTTCACAAGCGTATAGAAATCCCTTGAATGTTTTACTCTACCAACCCGTATATTTCTGAGGAATATATTAGTTTTTTTTCCCTTCCTATTGAATAGTGACTTGATCAATTTCTTTGCGTTTCTTCACTCACCAACTTATGTTGTATTTGTACATCATACCTGGTATAAAGTCTGTGCCTGCTGTCTTGACTGCATGTCTACTTCCAATCTCACTCTTTGTAATCTTTCATTTATTTAAATTACAGACAATCAAAACTTCGTTCGTTATTTCCTGAATTTAGTACAAAGATTGATACAGCTAGGATGGTCAAACTCAATAGACTAGATCACCTCGTGCATCATCTAGATCACAAACAAACGGCCTCCCAAAACACAATATCAGAGACCATCAAATTGAGTGCACGGGTCTGGCTTTCAACCAGTACACCGACTTGTATCCTCCCTAGCTTCAGCGCCTTTGGCATACTGAGTCTCTCATGAGTCATTGTATCCGTATATTATTCCGGGTATGGACTCTACCTTTGATATCTTGACTGGGCTCTTGCTTCTCTCTTTTTGTAATTGTCCATTGCAACTCCAAATCAAAACTTCGTTCATTCTCTCCTAACTCATGTACACAATTGATACAACTAAAAAGATAAATCTCAAAGAACTCGACATAACACAGAACATGATATTAAACAAATTACAAACAACTCCAGAAAACACATTTTTCGTAAATAAAATTTAAATTCGAATGCACGGCCTGGTGATGAATACATCGCCTTTTTTGAAACTCTTCTCGAGCTCCGTGTGCATTGCATCTTTCATATCAATTACTATTGTGTTAAAAAAATTCGTCATAGTCAGTAAGGCAAACAAATTGATGGCAATCTCATACTATCAAGAACTGACCTAGGGGGTGAACTTGTATTGAGTCTAAGTTCGAGCTGCCTGAAAGACACTATTGCTTTGTCAATGCATACCTGACTTTGCGTCTCCTTGATCAACATGATACGCTGTGAGATACGACCTTCATCGACTGCCCCATAACAGCTGGGTGGTTGTATGAGTTCTTCAGGAGCCTTCTCAGCTTGAGAGGACATTTGGCTGTACCCAAGCACATCACAAATCACTTGATCGGTACATTGATTCAGGATCATCGTCAAGAGGCGAGCTGGTAGCTTTGGTTTGTGGTCCACTGTTAGTGTCGAGCACCATATCAGACTAGAGACATGATGAACCAAATAGAGGTACAAGAAAGAGTGTGTCTCGCGTTTGATGGGAGATCTTTCACCAATCAGTTGCGTGAAAATTGTGATCATGTCTTCGTCTGTCTCAATAGGATACAGGTAAGATCGAATATCAGGCAAATTGGCGTCTAAAATCATGACCTCGTCTAGTCCGACTTGAAGGTGTGTCAAGATATGAACATAATCTTTGAAGAGAAGACGTCGAAAATCGATGGAATGTCTCATGTCGCAGAATGGAATCAGGAGTATCGAAAAGACTGGATTCGCAAAGGAGCTAGAGTCATAGATACCCAAAATGTCAGTGAATATAGAATAAAGTTCCATCTCGTCATCTTTCGACAGTTTTTTGGCTTGAGCAATGAGGGGCTTTGGGTCTGCACATAGGTTGAGATGATCGGATCGTCTAGATTTGAATTGGAATGGGGATATGAACTTCATCAACAGTCGACATGCGATCTCGTCATCAAATATTGACTGCGAATTATGGTCATTCGAGAATTCGGCTCCCATTTCCCAGCCGTTCTGCGAGTTCAAAACGATCAGCGTTGATAAGATGGTCTTCCATGTGGATATATCATCGCCTATCATCGGATTAAGGATTAAAGATAGCGTTGAGGATTGTTTTTGAATGCGACAAAGGGTAGATCGAACAAAGACTGCTAATGCAAATGTTGCTCTTGCCAAACGGTTCAGCATACTGATCTGCGTAGGTTTTACGTCACCTATCAAGGACTTGAGGTATACTTGGGTGAGAAAGTTGAGTGCGAGCAAGGGCCATGTGGATGAGAGCACGAACGCCGGCTGATCAGACTGTTTCATAAGCAATCGCGTCTGCTGAGGGGTCGGGTAAGACACCTCTGTAGATATGGCGCATTCATTGACATATGCTTCGTACAAAGGGCGCAAGAGCTCGATGTCAGGCGCCAAGCCCTGCTCTTCGCTTTCTGCCGCCGTAAGTAGATCGTTGGAATCACTGAAGTCTGATGCTGTGATTGCGCTTTGAAGATGGTCGATCGTGGTCGTAATCGCCGATAGGATCATATCACCGTCAGAGTTACGCAGCAGTAGGCTGGCAGCACACATCCAATCCGGCATTTTAGTCTCCAGCTGCTTGTATAGGAGACAAAAGCTACTGGGAACAGTGGATAGTTGATCGGCGTTAGCCGCTGATTGACAAGCTAGGGCGAAATCGTCCTCATTGGGATACCAATCCTCCACATCATTACATGAAGAGAAGCCGTTGCGTAGTTCTTCATGGTGGGTAAGTTGTATACATGAATAAAGTCGAGCCATGCTCGTGATCAGGCGAGCATCGTCATGACATTGAGCTTTCTGAGCAAGTTTATTGGCGTCATTGGACACGGAAAGGACACGTTCGGTAGATCGCTGAAGACGCTCTTGTAACTGGGATCCCAGTCGGGAGAGTTGTGTCAGGAATTCAGTAATGTGGCTATTCTTCTTCAAGGATCCTGTCAAGTATTCAACTAATAAGTCGCAGGCGCTTGCGAGAACACTGTTCGACATGTATCTTGAACTCGTATTCGGAGCCACATCAACGGCGTGTCTTTCTTTTAAGCAGATCTCTATAAATTCAATGCTGTCGACGCTCCATTCGGTAACTTGTGACCAATTAATGCTATGAGGAGGGACGATGACGTGAGGATCGTTTGCACATCGCATCCAATTCCTTAACAAGTCTAGATAAGCTGAGATGAGCTCTAACTCCCCAACAACTCGATAATCAGAACCATCGACATTGGTAGTGGCCATATCAATAGCGACCGAGAGCCTTTTCTGAAGACCAAGCGTGATCGGTCGCAATAACGCATCTAAAGTGGTCCTTAGACTTGTACCGAGACCATATGCTGCAAAGGTAGATATGAGGATGAATTGCTGCCTCATGAAGTTGGCCATCATCAATGTAGAGTCTGAATGCGCGGAAATGTCTAGGGTCCAATACGGCAAGGCGAGAAAGCGAAACGTAGGAGTCAAAAGTCCGCGATCGACTAAAGACTGGCTACATTGCCGTGAGGAGAGAGCTAAAGTGTGCAACAGATGGAGGCAGTCCAAGCTCGGCACTTCAAATCGGTGGCTTGTGACAGGTGGCCAGGGAACTGAGACCAAGAGCTGAATGATGTCCTCAAGAAGCATAGATCTTCTGGTGATCTCTTCAGAGACTCGCGCCGAATCTCCTAATTGAATGATAGTATTCAACAATTTGACCATGACAATTAAGGAAAATTTAGATAAGACTTGAAATCGAAAGTGTGACTGGATCTTGGCCAAAATGTCAAGCTTAGTGAATAATTCTTCTATCCACTCTAATTTGGATGCCGGCAAAGATTTCGGGTTATTATGCTTAATTGATAGTAATCCACACGAGACGGAGTAAAGTAGCATCAGCGCGCTGTCCGCTAGGCCCACATTTTTTTCGCCCAAGGCGTGGGATGATGCCAAGATCATATCTGGAATTGCAGGCTGCAATTCCGTTTCTCCAAAGACGGCGACCTCCTTGCGACTTTCGTTTTGAATGCCTAAGTATCGGTCAGTGATCCGTGTCATGATCTTGAACCCCATTACTCGCTGGGATGGAACTGATGACATGATGAATCCAAACAGCTGCTGAAGTTTGAAACTCTCCGCCCGTTGTGGATGAATGTCATCACATTGGTTTGTTGTCGAATCGACATCATCACTGAGCCTTCCTGGCAGCATCTGCCCCTTGATATCGAAATTGAATTGAGTCTTGGCCAACGTATGGATGGCTTGATGCGAGCATGCAGCTTTGGAGTTGGATTTAGTCGGTCCGTGAGTCTCATGGGTGACGGCTGATGAAGACGACTCTTGCCCAGGTTTGATGGGAGTTGAATCTTCAGAAGAGGATACGAGGATATCATCTGAGAATTGGACACGCTTAGTGGATTTCTGACGGGACTTTATGTCATTTGAATGATCAGGAATAGTGTCATTTTTATAATCGGGCTGGCTACATTGAGAAGTAGATACATTGTTCTTCTTGAGTAGTTGCTCCAACAAGGTAGGATTAGACTTCATCAGCATAGCCTTGATCTCGGCTTGAGCCGCTAGGATTTCAGCTTCGGACATGTTTGCTAAATTTGATTGATTTTCAGCCGCAATACTTGTCTTGGTCTCAAGAGAGAATTCGGAGCTGGAAGATACTGTCTTGGTAGAACACGAAGGAATCGGGAAGTCAAAGGTCGCTTGGTCGCTCGAAGCATGGAGTTCCCCGGCTGATGGAGATGAGAGCTTGCATTTCATCGAAAAATGTTCAGAGGGTCCAGCGCTAGGAAATCCACTGGGCTCAAATTTGGACTCAAAGTCGTCATTTGGTTCCGTCAAGTCATCTCTTTCAACAATCTCCCCTAGAAGTGGGTTTCGAAAGTTCGCAGATGGAATGTTCTTTTCGAATTGATCGACATTATGTTCCGACATAGCACTTGTGGGAATATCTTCATCATCACTCAAATCAAGTTGAAATCTTCCTGTTGGAACCTGTTGAGACAGGGGTAGCATATCGGACTCAGCCTTTTGGCGAGCGGCCTCTAGTTCGGCTTCACGTTCGAGGGCGAATCTAGATTTTCGAACTTCTGGTGCTTTAGACGTTCCACCGCTTTTGATAGGTTTAAGAGACGAGGAAGGTTGGGTGTATGCGAAGGAGCTTCCCTGTGTGATCTTGTTGGATTCTTTGGTAAGCTGCTCCATGAACTCATCGTTTTGTAAATCATATATACTAGGTCTGACGGTAGTGCTATGTATCTGATGAGGCTTTGAGTTTGGAGGATCAATGATAGCCATGATGGCAAGCTACAATATGTCGATGAAGAACTATATAAACCAACAAATGCAGAAAGGAAAAGAAACACATCATCAGCAAAATTGTTGGTCACTGTAAGACGGCGGATGGATTTGCAAAACATGATGGTCTCTTACTTCACCACTAGCCAGGCTCTAACCAAATAACGCGTTTGACAGAACAGCAGCTGAGTCGGAGTATATTCGAATTCAACGGTTAGTTCAAGTTTTTGAGGTGAAATTGTGTTGGTTGATGAAGTTGAAAATGAGGTTCCGATTGAGTGTTTGATGAAGAATTATGTAGAACTTGATGAAGTGAAGTTGAAGTTTCTCTCAAATTCAGAAAAAGTTAAATTTGATCGCTCATTGGCTAAAACCGCATATATGTTACATCACATCCTACATACAGGTACACACTACAAGCATTGAACATTCACACGATACTAGGGGAATCAGTTTGGTGTGGGTAGCTTGGGGACAGGAGTGCTACGCATTGTGGCCCTGAGGCCTGGATTGCAAGTGTGCGCCCGAAATGGCGGGGCCTGAGCAGGGATAGAGCTGGAGTACATGAGGGTGGCCACTAGGCGCTGAGCTTCTCCACTGGAGGCTCCCCACTCCTTTTGGGAAGAGAAATTTGAAAACAACTCGAGAACTGATAAGCTAGACATAGATAAAGAAATTGATAGGTAGCCACATGAAACTTAACCCATGGAGAAACGGGGTGGTGGGCGGGAAAGAAAAATTTTTTGGAAGAAAAACGATATAACTGTACTGAATAGGTGAAATTGCCAAGTGTGCCCAGAGCCTGCGGAGGCACTCAGAAGTCCATCTCCGTAGGGATGTAAAAGCTTCAGGTGCGAATAGGAAAACCCACCTGTGACAGTTACGCAACATGTCACAGGTCTCGGGCACAGAGAAGGGAGCGAGAGAGTCAGAGTTTTTAACTCCTCTCTCTTCCCGCCTCTCTGTCGAATTTTCCTACTCCGCACCTTAGAGATCTAGCACACCTCCTATAGATCTCTCTCTTTGCTTTTAAAAACATATTCTTAAAACATCTACGCACTCTCTAGAGTTCAAGAAAGAAGACTAGATAGATTCCGAAAATTGGAAGTGGAAATCCTATTTCTTTTTGCATTTTCCTTTTCACATTATATACATAGTTGTGGGTGTCTCACTGGATGTGGCGGAAACTGAAGGAAAAATCGAATAAAATCAATTACAAGTCCACTAGAATGTTGCAAGCAATCAAATTCGCGGAAGAGAAGAAACTAGCTGAGGAGGCAAGAGCGGCGGAGCAAGCAGAAGGAAGAAAGCGTAGAGCGGAATCGAGAACAGTCCAAGCAGGTGGCTCTCAACCGGCGATCCCCGGGACATTGGACACTCGAGACGAACCGCAGTTAGAAGGCCCCTCAACCTTGACGACTACCGGGGGTGGAGTGACCGAAATCGAAGGAGGAGGTGACCCTCTGGGGGAAGAGGTTGAGGAGAAGGAAGATGCTCAAGGCCTGACCCACACGGATCCTGGTGAATCGTTGGGCGATGAAGATTCCGACTCAGATTCGGACGACTCGTTCCTGGAGCAACGCAAACCCGCTTTGAAGGAGCGCAAGAGCCCCAAGAAGAAGAAGGGGAAAGGGAAGGGAAGGAAGGTGTCATCAGAGTCATCCTCAGAAGGCGAGGTGTTGGAATGGAAGAAGGAGAGAGGGTATGGCTCACTTATAGAGAGAGACCAGGGTGAGCGTCATTCAGCTTCATAGAGGTTATTAGTCCTTGGTGGGGACCAATCTTGTTGCAGCGCACAGTCGCTCCGAGGGCCTGAAGGGCATTTCTTATAGAGATCCGGCAGTATGCCTAGGGATCCCAGCTCCAGGTCTCCTGTAGAAGCCGCGCAAGCCTTAGCTCCGTCCCTGAACGTTGTAGCAGAAATTCCCCGGCGATGAGAGCGTGAAGCGCTGACGGTGTTTTTCCTTTGGATGGTGTGGTTCCGTAGCAGAAGCCCCTAAAAGAAGGCCGAAGTCTCAAAGCCCCACGATGGAGAGACCCAAGGCTCAATCCAAGTCCTTGATGGATCAGCTGGTGGACTCGATTCACTCTGGGAAGGCGAAAGACGTGAGGAAGCTGAGGAGAGAATTGGATCTCTGTCAGCTGGAGATCGATAAGTTAGAAGAGAAAACGGAGAAGAGAAAGAAGGGGGGAAGGACAAGAAAAAGAAGTCGCCTGGGAGAGAGGGTAAGGAGGACAGGAAGAAGACCAAGAAAAGGAAACGTACCTCCTCGTCGACCGACTCCGAGTCTTCGTCCTCAGACGGTTTGTCCCACCTGCGCCAACCTTCGGTGGTTGGAGAAGATTCATCCTCAGATGAAGATTCTTCGGCGAGTTCCGTCTCTTCTAAGGCGGAGAAGAAGAAATCGGCGAAAGAGAAGCCCATCGCCTTCTCTTTCAAGAGCCTGTCCGGTTTCGATCTCCCCGATTTACCGTCCCAGTGGGAGAAAAACTTTAGACGTATGAGGTACTATGTACCTCTCACCGTATTCGACGCGGCTTACATCGACGCCTACCGGACTACCTGCAAAACAAAGGCGGGCAAGTTGAAGTGGGATAGTCAGATGAAGTCTAGAGAAGAGCTGGAAAGGCAGATGACTTACGGGGATTTCATTCTGGCTTGCGACCTGGAGGCTCGGTACGCGAAGGAACGCTACAAATACAATGACTATGCTACTTACGTAGAGAAGCACAAGTCGATTGTGAGCACGATTGCTAGAAGACACAAGTGCTGGATGGTAGGCCTCCGTTATCATCTGGCGGTCAGGGCGGTTACCTTTCGAGTTCGTGACCCATTAGCGAGCGAGAATAGGACAAGCGGGAAGAAGAAGAAACTCGTAGACGAAGTGATTCTCCCAGACGGCCTTCAATCGGAGGCAGAAGACAACGCGAAATGGGACGCGCAAACGGCAGGAGACCTGAAATGTAAGGGTAACCCCTACGTGGTAGGCCAGCCGAAATTCGGCTTTGATTTCATGACCGGCCAGGAGATGGAGGAGAACCTGAACCCGAAAACAAAGTCGAGAATTAATTCAGACGACTCTCAAGAGGCTAGCGGTTCTAGGCAAACCTGGAAACAGGGGAGGAAACAGAGGGGTGGAAATAGGGGACGTGCAAATTACCCTAGAGCGAGTTATCCTCAGTATCCTTCGTCATCAGCACACGCCCGGAAGAGAGAAGGGAATGGAGGCAAGGAATGGGTAGCTTTAGGTCAGAAGCATGCGAACGTGGTAGCGTCAGGTTTGGGAAGGGGTGGACCGAAGGACCGGTAAGCTTTCTGAATGAACGGGTTGTTACAGAATAGGACTAACGGTAGTATGTGTCTGGTTACTTTCCCCTTGGTGGTCTCGTTCTGTCTTGCGCGGCGTCGCATGGTGTTTATGAACTCGGGGGGTACACTTTGGTACTTGGTATTGGGGGGTGTGCTTGTTGCTGTACGGTACCGGATCCTCTACCTATGTCAGTAGCTAGTC